AAAATCGGAGGGGAGGACAAAACGCCACATTGTGTAACGAAGGCTGCACCAAACGATATCCGCCCGCATTCTGCAAACGATCAAGGACGTGACTAAATATATATCCTACCTGCTACAACCAAGGGTGGCCATACAATTTGCACGCACAAACACCCCAAGAGCCTGGGATGGGCCTCTACGCAGCAAACGCACGGACCGTTCCAAGTCGCTCTCATTCTCCTCGTACTTGCGCTCGCACACCACTGGCCCCACCTTGTAGAACTTGGGCAGGCCATTGCACCTCTCGACGACACGAGCGCCAGCCTCCTCGAAAATGTCCGACACTGCCACCAGCTTAGCCCCGGGGGTTCGGAAGGCCAGGGTCTTGGCATGGATCTGGTTTTTCGTGCGCGGCATTCGTGCAACGTGTGACGTCATGTCAGAATTGTTCGGCGGGGGACAAGACTCAGGGATATCGCTCTTGCTCTTGTTTGCAAAATGTCATCCGGGAATTTGTTGCGTTTAGGTCGGCGGGAGGGATGCGTATTTGAGACCGCCCTCTTTGTTCCTCTTTGTGAGACCAAGCGTCCAACTGAATCAGAGTCATACAGATACAAAAGCCCCTTTCGACCCCACGTTAGAAATATCCATGAGGGGGCGTACACACGAACCAAACAAGTGGGAAGGGAAGCAGAGCGGGGACTACTCGGGGATAGGACTTTTTTCTCTGGTCGCGTCTGGGTGGGTTCCAAACAACTGCTGCGTACGTTTAGCCTTGGGTGTTGAGAACGGGAACTGCCGTTCCAGCACGTTGGGGCCGCCTTGTTGCTGCCTGTCGGGACAGGAGGGGGTGAAGCTGTACCAGGGTGTATGCAGGAAAGGTTTACAGCTTACAGTAGCTTGTTGTCGGGGTCACTGCTGTGCTGTGCTGTGCTGTGCTGGCTCTACGTAAGGAAATCAACCACAGCGGCACTGCACTGCAAGCAGCAGTTCAAGCCGCAAGCACACAAGTGTGTTCTTGCTTCGTCCGACCCTAACCTGAGTTGAACGACCCGACTCCACAATCGCTTGTCAACGAAGGGTCCTTGCCAGGGCAGCGCGGCAGCACCTCCGAGGGCACTGCTGAACAAGTATTGGTAAATATGCATACTGGTAGTTTTCTGTGAAATCCCGTGTAGTTTGTAGCACATCACCATCATCACCATCACCATCATCGATCGACCCGACACGGGGTTCAGCAGCAGTCTATTAGGAGAAACGAATATACACACAGAAAGACTACCCGTTCGAGGTATAACTACACTCGAAGGGGATGTGTTGAAGTCTTTACAGTGAGTAGAGGCTATGCATAGTCCACCAAGTAGCTTGATGCATGAGTTTTGTTTGTACATATGTGAATGTCATGACTTGCGGCCGGTAGCAACTGATGCTGTATCATATGCAGCAGCACCGTACCGCCGCACCGTACCGTGCCGTACCGTCTGGAAACTTCCTCTAGCTACATGTAGATAGATCATCCTGGTGCGGCTACAGGGTAAAGGCGTGGACATCTTTGCCGCTGGCGCTGGATCCAGCCGCTGCCTAGAAAGGTATCGAGAGCAGTACCCCCGCACATTGGCATGCTGCTGCCCTCTCGCTACTGCTGTCCTGTGTTTTTTGGATGCCAGCAGCAGACTTTGGCACGGAACAACCGCCGTATTACGATGCAAGAGAGAAACACTGCACGTAGTTCACATGTGGACAGCAGAATATAGCTTTCTTGCGCCATGCATATGCATATGATGGTATAGTCTACGAACAGATGCCGCGGGGTACAGCCAGCACCCTGATAGGAACTCTTAACCCGCCATTCGAATGCCCGTCTGTGAAGCTTGTGTACAAAGTGTACTGCCGTGGTAGACATCTAAATAGACTACGGCTGTAGACTTAAAGACTGCCTCAACAGCGGGTAGAGCAGTGTGGTGAGGGAGGTACCTTCACTGGCTGGTGTGTGTTCTGGCTCCGCCTGAGAGCCCGCCTGAATAGACGAGACAAGAGTGCGGGCAACTGCCGATGAAATTCCGACTCTCGTGACATAAGACCATCGCGCCATCACACAACCACCAGGAGAGCGCCGCCGCTCTCCTCAGCACTCCTTGTTTCGGCAAAGCGCCCAGCGGTGTGCCTCTACTTGCTGCTATTTGCACGCATGGCTCATGCACTCACATCTCCGATCCTGCCGCAGCCGATGACTCCCACTCCAAGCGGCTCATCAGCCATCCTCACAGAGGACGCCGCTCTCGTTGCCGACGAGGCCGCTGTCGGCAGTCTGTTGAACGAAGCCCAAGGACGAACAAAAGCTGAGCTGCATGTGGCCATCATGGCCAGCAAAGCCCCAGACTGCATCATGGTCACGTCTACAGACTCGGCTTTCCAGAGAGCAGGTGTGGAGAAAGAGAGACGAAGCAGGGAGAAGGACGCGTGCTTTGCAATTTTGTGATCCAGTGACAGCAGTTGGTGCGATAGTACTTATGTACAAGGGCTTCGCGGCGGCCCGCTGAGGCGGG